ATATTATTTTATTATTGTTACTATTATTATTATATTATTATTATACATTCATATACAGCCTTTTGGCTATTGTTTGTAATTTTTTATCAGAATTTGAATAATAAAGACATTGAATGAAAAATTATTATCTAATATGAGTGCGAAAATCCAGAGAAACATACAAATTCTAATATGCGCTACTCTACTTTATTGACACAAAATAAACATAACACAATATCCGAGTTTACTGCTAAAAGTATATATTGAGCTATCAAATCGTAAGTATAAAATAAAAGCTTAGCGTAAAGTCAAGCAATTTGCGAAGAAGTATGGAAATATAATAGGGACCGAGCCTATCGTTTCCACACTCACGAAAATTATAAAGTGAGTGAGTGTTTTTCGCAAATCTAGATACTTGTATTAAAATGTTATTTCTACCCAAGCCCGGAAATACCAATCACCTGATATCATTATTCAGTAGTCACCTTATTCTAAAAATGCAACGTTCATCAACATTTTTTTTTTTCAGTCTAATCTTACTATTTTTCAAGCCTAAATAATAAGGACTACAGTACGTCAAGTTGTGGCCAAGATAAGAAAGCAGTACTACACCCTGCCAGCCAGCGTACGTTTCCGGATTATATTTCGTTGAAACCAATGTTTTGACTGACTACTGTAAATCATGACAGTGTATACACTAGGGCCTCTGTAAAGTACGCGCCTATTTAAAATAACATATATCAAAATCGCTAATCTAGTTTACCAACGTCTTTAAATGGTCGTCGTCGTATTTACAGTGTAAAATAATACGGTCTAAAATATATACATTTCGATCTACGGCGGCTACATCTTATATTATACTATTATTTTTATTATTATTATTAACAAACTATTAAACTTAATTGAAATGTTATGTAGCCGTGTGGTTTAGATACTTGTCATCAAATTGATAGGTTCTAATTTTAAATCATATAACGATAACAGGATTTTCTTCAACTCAACTTATCCTTACAAGGTGATCCAATTTTTGTACATCTTGTGTGTATTTTTCACTGTTTTTCCACTCTTTGTACTCTTTGTGAACTAGATGACACATTATAATCGAAAATACATAAATTTATTTATACTATTACATTAGCATCAAACGTACTGTCAATCTTAGTATCTTTGGTATCTAATTGGTTCAATGTGATTACATGATTATTCAATAAAAAGCAGACGATTGTTGGATCCATTTGGGTTTTGAACAATGTCTTTACTTGATAGGTCAATAATTCTCTGACGGACTTCCCCAGCAGGTATTCCTCTAGACCGCAATATTGCAGCCACTCCTGGAACACAACACAATAGTTAGTAAGTATAATTTAAGAACAAACTATATTTACCTTCTTCTGTACATCAGGTACACGTGCCAATTTCAGGATAGAACTATGTTAGGCTTAAGCCACACTGTCATTTTATTTTAAAAGTAGGCCTATTTGTATTGTGCACGTGTGTGGATGTCATATGACATCATAATTTCCATATATGGGAAATTTAAGCAATATGTAGCATAAACTAGTGTTGTACGTTAGAGCTTAATTGAGTAAGGCTGTTACAGTCGTGCAAAAATGTTGATTTTTTTTTTTCGTGTACATTCGTGCCTATTCAAACTTATGTTTTATTTTCGTAGGCGCTTTTGGTTTTTTTTTTTTTTTTTTTTTTTAATCAATCATAGTTACATTCATCTAATCAAAGAATGCTCTTATTTTAAATATCAATACTAAAAATATGCTGAATAATAAGACCTACCATATTGACTTACTATTTACATCATACCGGGTCATAGATATTACCGTAATCGATTTTCACTCAATTTGTGAACTTAGTATGACCGAAATTATTGAGTAAAACGTTATAGATATGTCAAAAGTTATTGTCGTTGTTAACCACATTTAATTTTCCAATTTGGTATACTTAGAAGTTTATATCTTAAATAATAACCATTTAGTTTAATAGCTAACTCAATTTCCACCAACAATTTGTTTCAATTGGTTTGTATTATTTTCAACGAGGATTTGTGGAGTGGGCTGGCCATCAGAAGTTTTCCTGAGAATTAAGTCTCAAGTGCATAGATTTTCTATTGTGGAGTGGGCTGGCAATCAGAAGTTGTCAAGAATTAAGTCTTAAGTGCATCCATTTCGGTTATTTTAAATATGCTTGGAATAGGACACTAGCGAGCTCGCATTACCCGTCCCTAACACCACATAGGCCTATTCATTTACAATTGTAAATTGTAAAAATAAGACGTTTATTTCTTATATTATATTGTATTTTAATGGCGACCCTTTTTTTTTTTGGTGTTTGACACACTGTTGGGTCTTGAATAAATAAACACAAAGTCAAACATAATTGTCATGTTAAAATCTAGCATTTGACTTTTTTGGTATTTTTTTACACAATGCTGTATCTGGTTATTGTAGAAGATAATGCTGAGAAAAAATAATGTTCTCAATAAAGTCGAGGAATGTTTTTAGAAACTTACTTAAATGAGTTTATTAAAATCGAATTCACTGCAGAGGTAAGGGCACTAACCTGAAACATGAGGTGCGGACATAGGGGTACCGCTAAAAATGAGTGTTCCGTTATTTGTTCTATAATCAAGAGATTCTACACGTACACCGGGTGCAAAGATATCTACACCAGTTCCAAAATTTGAAAATGTTGCTCGTTGATCGGATTGGTTAGTGGCCCCGACAGTAATTGCCTGAAATACAAATTAAAACGCTTCAATATGCATGTTACTAGGTTAATATTTTAACATTAAGATTATCAATCTATATTTCTGGACTGTTTGCATCAACCTTTTACTTTTAGTTATTGTATGTGAGGAGGGATAAATAGGTCCTATATTGTTATTTTATTTTTAAGGTCTCACCACAAATTGAGTCTTATCGTTTAGGAAACTAAAAAATGAGTTTATATTATACTTGGGTAGGTCACATTATAAATCTTTATTTGACCTTTGAATGGCTTTCCTGTGATAAGCAGACCCAGAGATCCAAAGATAGAACCCAGGTTTAGAAAAAAATCGGCCCCAGTAATAACTTAGCTGTACAAATAATAGTACTAATATTACAGAATATGTGCAGAGAATGCTGTTTTAGTAAGAACATTCACGTAAAATATAAGTATCAACTTATCCAAAACATTAAAATAAATATTTTGTAAAAAATTGACTTTGACCTATTTTGGTGAATATCGCAATATGATTTCACAAGCAATGGGTCTCATTTCGTGGTTAAAATTAAACGAATCGGGAGCGAGAGCTATTCAAAGTAAAATTTTAGTATAGGCCTATAATGTTTCGGCCTTTAATATCATAACTAAATGAACAATGCATAAATATTAATTCTTAGAAACCACCTCCCTTTAAATCTGCCTTGATGTATGTTTTAGAAAGTGTGATATAAATATTAAGTATTATAAGTATGTATTTTTGTACCTCAGTGACTCTAGCTGGTGATCTCCCACACGCATCTTCATTTTCGTTTCCTGCTGAGACTACAACAACAAAGCCAGCTCGTATCAAGCTCTTTACAGCTTCATCGGCCACGTGAGACTGGGGGCCTCCAAGTGACATGGTTACAATGCTACCACTGTCTCCATGAGCCAAAATATGATTAAGTCCTGAGTTTTAAAAAATGCATTATTAATCATGTATATTCGTTTGACATTTCCAGAATGTTTCCTTTCTATAATATTTTGCATTTAACAACTCGCATGACTAATATAGAAATAGAAACTCTAATTTGATATAGAGAAATATATATATATAGAGGACGCGTTAAGAATGACAAAAATATTATCTGTATCTACTGGAACCGAGCCACATAGCTTGTATACCACTATTTGCATTCACACCTGGGCTGTGTATATATATTGCCTTGGTTTGGCTCTGTATAAATCATTAGTGGTCGTGGGACTAGTTTGGGCCCTACCTAAGGTGGTCGAACGTTTCGTTTGGGTCTATACCCTAGCTGCACTGATGAGACCTGGAAGGCCGAAACGGATCCGTCTGCAGATATTGGGATTCCTTCCAGTGGATGCTTAGTTTATTTTGTCATTCTGATCGGATTTTCTCTACTGTTCCGTTTTAATTTAATAGTTTTGCATTATGTGGCCGTTTGCTGTTTTATGGGTTTTTCTCATTTGCCTTTTAAAATTTATAT